CATTTTGTTGCTCAAGCAGTAAATCTATTTATAGATTATTGAAACAAAATATATATCCAAAGTTTGGGGGTTCTAATTTCTATGTGGAAATAATAAATGGATAAATAAATTTGTGGGTGATTTATAATTTATTTATAAATTCCAAATATAAAGACTCATAAGCTTCATTAAGGATTTTAAGCTTGCTTTTCATTTTCCTGCATGTTTTATGTTAAGTGTGAAGAACATCATGTTTAATAAATAAAGGTAACACAGAATATTAAAAAAAGTCCCTTTGGACGTAATAGAAAATTTGAATGAGGTATTTTTTTACTGTGGTAGTATCGGAAACATTGTGTTTAAAAGCTACTTTGAATGGTGTGGAACTGAAACTAAAAATCGAATTAAATAACATTTGGCTTTTATAACTTCCATTTCATTGTCTGTTATGAAGAAGTTTGATATTTCTATTTTATAATGCAAATTTTTTAACATTTCTTTTATTTTTATCTGAGGAAATGCATGTCATTTACAGTCATCTTTTATGCTATGTGCAACTGAAAAGTCTTTGTTGTTAGTGCACGACTTCCAAACTCGACTCTTTAATGCATGGAAATTCTGTAGAATAAGAGTCTTTAAATTTCTGGCTTGATAATTTTAACGTCTTGTTTTGTGAATTTAATATTTCAAGAACTTAAAAAACGTCCAATTTAATCACAGCTCACAAGAAGCATGTTCTTTTCTCACATAATATCACAGAATGGGACCTGCAGGGTAAATAAACCCTTCACAGCAAAAGTGCTTGATTGGAAAGTTAAGGCTCAGAATTTGCTAAACTAGAATGGCTACTCTTCAAAATCAGCAGGACCATCAAAACACATAATACATGATGTCATGAATATTTTGCTAGTCATCAGAGGAATAAGCTGGTTACATTTAGCATACCATTTCCTTTGCTCTCTTTCAAAAAAATCTGTAGTTTTAAGGAATTTCCATAAAAACTACAGAGGAAATGTAGAAGTTGGAGTCTATGGACACTATATTATCAAAAGTATCCAGACAGCACTTCTAGCTCCCAGAAAGTGTAAAAGAACCTAGACAAGTTGGTAGAGACATTAGGTATTTTTTGGAAGCAGACAAGATGAAAAATGAGCAATTGCCTTTGCCAGAATTGAACCACATACCTCTGGAATACCGGCCCAGCATGCAGAACCACTACACCATGAAAGCATGCCAAGAAGGTGGGAGAAATACCTTATAAGTTTACAATCATTATTTCAAAGCTAGAAAATTTACTATGGGAGGAAAAGATAAGCTAGATGATTTTAAATGTGGGGAAGTGATGTGTCAGCACTGCTGTGGAAAATCTGTTCGGGAAACTTCTGCAATGTTAGGAATGCCCCGTTGTACTTTATTATTATTGTGCACGAGGGTACAGTTCTGATAGACTATACAGATATCTATACTGACATCTGATAGACTATACTGATTCTATCAAGGGTAAGATCTGATAGACTATGTTTTCTTCAGACAGGGACTTCAGAGTTGTGAAATTCAATTAAATGGAATGTCAGCAGAAAAAAAAAAAAAAAAAAAAAAGTCTTCAGGAATTTTATTCTTTCTTAAAGAAATTCTTCAGTCTTTAGGAAAACATCTGAATGTCATGTTAGCACAATGACAGTTCATAACGAACTTCAAAACATTGGTTTTCAGGACAGAATGCTTCTGCTTTTAAACCAAACATTACTACTACAGATGCAAAGCATCACTTACAGTGATGCAAACGCTGACAACACTAAAGCTTTAACCCCTTCAGGACAACTGTATCATATATGCATCAGCAGTTAATTCTCTAACGCGATGGCATGCCGCTTAGCGCAACTAACCTTGGAAGCGGTAGGTTGTTGCAGTAGTACGATCTCGCCATACAGGATATTTTGCGTCGTTAAGCCTAACTTTTAACATTTTATTAATCCATTATTTTGATTTTTCTGTTATGGTATCTATAGTAATATAATCACAAATACAGAATATCAAGAGATTCTGAAGATTTTTTAATTAAAACCTAAATGCAAAATAAAATATTTGACTCATCTTGATAAAATGATGTAAACTTACTTAAATCTATATTTAACATATGTAAAAAATTATAAAATATTTCAGCATAAATGATTCAGAAAGGAGACAGTGTGTGGTAATCTAGTCGCTATCATTTCATTAGTTATGAAACACATTTCCAGGTCAAACTTTTTAATTCCTTTTCAGTAGAATAATTAATCCTAAGAATAACCTCAATTTAGGCACATTTAGAGAAATATGTTGATTTTGGATGAAGATGGATTTTCTCTTATCTTTTGTTCATAAAAATTATTAGTTTCTTTAACTATTATGTTTATTAGATATCGAAAAAAATGGGAGAAAATGAATTTCATTCACATAACTTTGAATTAAGTTTACTTTTGCAATTCTCGTAAATTCACAGTGCTTCAATTACTTATCAGGTATTACTTATCACGACAGAGTAGCCACTATTCTGCTGGATTGAGAGTTGAAAGCAAAGCAAACATCCAATTCAGTTTCCGAGAAAATTTCAACATCAGAATCGCTATTCTCACTTAAATCTACAGTTTTCGGTGTCAAAATAGTCACTCATGGGCTTTATAATTTCAATATACTCTTCTTCCATTAAAAATGCCTTTCTCTTAAACATCACACTATTAGTTTAAATTTCTTACCCAGTGCAAAAAACTTATTTCTGCTATATAAAGAATATGCAAATGGAATACAAACCAGAGTTCCTACAACCACAGCTCCATTCCTAATCTTCCAAGGCAGATAGCCCTCGAGTGCTTTGCCATAATTTAATAAACCAACCAACCTAATCTCCCCATCAGGAAAAAACAACAACAAAAAAGGTTTTGAATCAGAAACTGTTCCAATGTTTATATGATAGGAAAGCAACTGTGCCTCAGCTGGGTTTTCTTTACTTTATATCATCTGCTCATACATCTAAACGAATCACCAGAATCCGAAAGTGCTTTACGGATACAAGGTCAACAATGTATATGTTCAAATAAACTAACTGCTGTAGACACAAAGTGTGATTGATTTAAAAAAATTCTAAAAGACTGTATGTTTGAGAGTGCATATATGCCACACCCGTCTGGAAGATTAATGCAAGCGGCTATGCATATATGACACATCTGTCTGCAGAGGGTTTTTAGTTCAGCAACATGACGTAGCGAAGGGGTTACGCAATGGCATCATATGTTATGGAACAATGAATCAAGGTATACTATCTGGCAATCTGATTGTAGAGTTTGGTTGAGAAGATTGCTTGGTGAAGATTTTTTATTAAATGTATTGTGTCACAAGTAAATTTTGGAGTTAGAAGCAAAATGATTTGGCCTGGGTTGTATGGTTCCTATACAAGGAACTCTCAAGACAGAAAATTATTTGGACAATTTGTGCTGCATACATTATGACAACAATTTGGAGAGGGTCCATTTCTGTTTCAACAAGATCGTGCTCTTGTCCATACTGCATGGCATGTCTGGTTTGCAGACATGGGGTTTAGGAATTGGATTGTCTTGTGCAAAGCCTAGATGTGAATCCCATAGAACACATATAGGATGTATTAGGATGTTGACTGTGACTACAGCACCCCAAGTCGGTAACGGAACTGGCCAATGTTCTGCAAGAATGCTGTGCCGTTCCCGCAACTATGTCAGAGTCTATAGCTGAGATAGCAGCAAAAGGCAGCCCAAACTTATTTTAATTTTTTCCCTATCAGTGGAAAAACAAAACATAACAGCTGTCTGGATATTCTTGATCATATAGTATATTTCAGCATGTGTCAAATTACTGAAAATAAATTCAGATCGATAATACTGCAATTTATTATGTTTATATTAATTCTAAACCCTAATGAAATAGTGCCAAGTAAATGGAATAAGCTGTTCATGAAATGTAACCTTTAAATTTAATAAAGAAGAAAAACTCAGTACTACTGCATTTCAAGCAAACATTTTAAACATGAAACATGCTTACCCACTTAATTTAAATTGCTGACATAAGAAGTTTAAGATCTGCATATCTTGACATCTTCGATTCAGTCTTTTATAATGCCTGTCTATGATAAAAAAATAAACATGCAAAATTATTTGATGATTTAATATTTTACAAGTATAATCATTACTGAAAAGAACAGTTTTGTATGCGTGATTAAGAATCAGGGTTCGTAGCCACATTTTAGTTAAAAAAATAAGCACCTATAAGCACTTTTCAAGCACATTTTAAGGAAAAAATAAGCACCTGTCTAATTACATTATATACAATTGAATAATCTTAAAAGAAAAATTAGAATTGTAATTTAAAATATGAGCAATGCATAATATTAGAGAATGAGTATTGAAATTCAGTTACAAAATATAGAAAAAATAATAATAGCCATATTAATTGTATTTGTTTGGCAATAATAATTAAATTACAATTTGTTTTTTTAAATTGAACTTAAATCAAAATTTGAACATTTCTAAATTATCCATTGGCCATAAGTTTTCCCTTAACATATATTCCAAGAAAAGTAATTTAAGTAAAAGAGAGGCACATGGCACATTTCTGAAATCGAAGAGGGAAATGTCATGCAGGTTTCATCCTTTACAGGAAAAGAGCTTAAACAAACAGCATACTTGAAATTGCTGAAATTCCGGATAGTAACTGGACAAAGAGGAGCGGGGGAGATTGTAGCCGATCTTTAGACTCTTGGACTAATAAATGATTTGACATTCGATAGTGATTAGATAAAAATAGACCAAGAGCAACTGAAAACATATTGATTAGAAAGCACAGAAAACTCTTTTAACGTGTGCATAAACTCCCCACAAAAAAGATGAAACATCAAAATTATTATCACTGCAAAAACCGCAAACATAATTGCGCAATACGTGCGGCGTACTTTCTTATGAATTACGCAATCGAATCAACAGCTGCCGGTATTCGAAAGAATAAAGAAATAAATAAAGGAAAAAGAAAAGAGACTTACTAATCTGGGGTGTTCTGATTCTAATTTCAACAGACTGCGTTAAAATTCGGAATATAATCAATCTTCGCTTAGGTTGGGGTAGACCGCAAAAACTTTTAGTCAGTCCTATTCAATCAAATTGGACGTGCCAAAAAAAAAAAAAAAAAAGTTCCTGTTTCATATAGAGATTTGCGGAGAAAGGGAGAACCTCACAAACACCGGAGTATGTATAATGTATTGGGGGGGGGGGGAATTGATATTCGGTAACCTATTTTATTTAAGCCATTACGAATAGTATTCCTTATAAAGCAATCTGGTAAAAAAACACAACCCATTTTTGGAAGTTTAGTTTATCATTATTCAGCAGTTACTGACAATTATATTTTATAAATATTCATTCATATGCTCATAATATAACATAACGATCATAATAAACACGAATATGAACTTGACACGGGAATGAGAATGCACATTATTAAATCTGATAGAAATTTCAAACGTGTGAGTATTGGGGGGAGAAAAAGAATACCGAAATTGTACGGAAATTTATCTACCATTTTTGCATCTTTGACAATAGAACGACGTTGCCATGCTGTTACTCTCGTGCCGGCACCATAGGTTATGTTATGCGGAAAGGGCGAAAGCAATTTCGGGGAGTATGATTTCATCATCTGAGTTGCATATACGGAAAGAAAATTGTTTATTTAGTTTGGGCTTTGGGACGAGGAAAATATTTTTGTTTGCGGTTCATTAAAAAAAAGCATAAAGCAAAGGAACTAAGGCACTTAAAAACAAAAAACAAAAAATAAGGCTTAATTTAAGAAAAAGTAAGCACCTATAAGGGCCTTTATATTTTATTTTCAAATATAAGGACTTATAAGCACTTCTAAGTACCGCTACGAACCCTGAGAATGTTGGTATTGACAAAATTATTTTTAAATTATATTTAACGAAAAATTTCTTTACCTAAATATGGTAGAGTATTTCTAACATAAGATGCAATATTTGTTATTTTCAGAAGTTCTTGAAAGTCAGATGAGTGATTAAAGTAGTTCACGATCAATATAGCTGCATAGCATGTTTTCGAATTAGTAATCCATTCCACAGCAAACTTCAGAAGTGATTCTGAAAAGAGGAAAATGCAATATATATCTTAATTTTAATACATTATTCCATACTGGTATTTAAATAATTACATAATAAAGGCTAAATAAGATACAGTAAAAACTCAACTGTCCAGAAAGCTCAGGAAAGGTTGAATTCCAGATCCTTCAGCGTACAGAAAATGGTATTGACGTTAGAAAAGCAAAATCAATGAGAAAAATTTCCCATTCTAAAGTTATAAAAACAGGCATCTTAATTATAACCAATTTCAATTTCAAAAGCCTACATTTAAAATTATATAAGATTTTTTTGGGGAAAAAGTGTATTTCAAATATAAAAGCTTATTTTACATTTGAAATTTATAACCCTTAAACATGAAAGTAAAGCATCTGATCCGATTCTGAAATCCTGCCAGGCATGAAAGGTTGCAGAGATGTCGCCAAGTATTCCAGCAGAAGTTTAAATGAATGAATCATTTATTTAGTTAGATAATAAATAGATGCAAATGACAGATATAGCATATAAAAAACTTACATTTTTTCACATTACATCACCACCTTTCATCCATTTTCAAAACTGCATATTGTGACTTTGATGATAAGATCCTGTAAGTTCGAAAATACTCCACTTCATGCAGTCCCAAATATTAAATTTTTTTTCAAAATGCAACAAAATTGCTTCATGCAGTCATCCTTTAACAGTAAAAGCTTAACTAACCCGCATACTCGGAAATTGCCGAATATTTTGGATAGTAACTGGAAAAAGAGGAGTGGGGGAGATTTTGACCATTTCAATGGCAAATTAATATAAAAATAGAACCACAGAACTCAGAAATATTTGCTTAGAAGCACAGTAAAAACTCTTTAAGTGTCATAAACAAATCTCGACTGAACATCACAAGTAATTATCTCTGCAAAATACTGCAACGTAATTGACTCAAGACGTGCGGGTAACTTCTTATGATATTACGCAATTGGAATCAACAGCTTGCGGTATTCGAAGAATAACAGAAATAAAGAAAGGAAAAGAAAGAGACTTAATACTTGGGGATGTGTTTCCAATTTAAAGTTTCAACAGGACTGAGTTAAATTTCCGGAATATAATCAATTTCGCTTAGGTGGGGTAGACCGCAAAAACTTTTAGTTACGATTCATCAAATTGGTACAGGGACAGGAAAAAAAAAAAAAAAAGTCTCCGCTTCAATATAGAGATTGTGAAGGAGAAAGGGGAGAACCTCCCCAAAATCGGTACGTAAGTATTGGGGGGGGAAGACTGATTCGGTTACATTCCTTTTAATTAAGCCATTCCGAATAGCATTCCTTATAAAGCTAATCTGTGTAAAACAAGTAATTTAAGTAAAATAGAACATGTATCCATCTTTACCAAAAGTAAACTGATGTATTGAGAATTAATTGGATTTATATTAAACCAAAACAAATTTCTTATGACTGTATTACAACATCATGCTTATCCATTACTGGCACTAAATTACACTGTTGGTGACAGTGTATAAGTGTTAATATTACAAGCTCTAAACTGACATTAGAAATCTTTCATTTGCTAAATTTTCCTGGAGGGATTATTATAAAATTAAAAAATATTCTGGTTACTTGAATGTTGAATAGTCAGGATTTTACTGTATTTGAAATTATTAATAATATATCAACTCACTTTTTTAAATTCCATTCTTTATTATAAATTATCTCAGTCACAAAAATGATTTTATGCTCCAGAAAATCAAAATATTGATATTTAGGGGAAAAAATTAAATAAATTTCTCAAATAATGAAAGATGACAAAATCACTAAAACATATTTATTTTATTTTACAAGATGTCTTATATTAAACAAAATATATTAGTATTTTATAAAATATGCATTATTTATGCAAATAACTTTAACTTGCTGGAATCAACTCATCTTCATATTCTGAACTTTACTTTTGATTAATGAAGTGTGGTTCCATGTGGATAATAAAACAAATAGTCAAAACAACAATATGTAGTACTCAGAAGTTTCCCACATGTAATCATTAGATGATCTTGCAAATGGAAAAGAATTTGAAGTGTATATGTGACTAAGAAGAATTTCCTGATCATACACCATCATCCCATTTAATATCAGGGTCTTTTACCATGTAGACTTATTTAAATTAAGATGTTTAGCCTAAATAAAATATTAAATGCAATATAAGCATATACAAAAATGCAAATAAATGAAGCAATATTTTACATCTTCCGAGAGTGATAATTGAGCACAAATTAAATACCTTAAAAAAATTAACTTTGTGGGCTGAATGGCTAATTTTTTGGCCTTGGATCTATATTAACAATTTGTACTAACGTCCCCCTTTCCATAAAACAAAACAGTCTACAAAATATAAAGCAATTACATAAATAATTAGTACATACAGGGACTGGACATGGAAACTAAAACATCTACATCCACAGCATAATACTTTATTAATGTGGTGTAAGCCCTCATTTGGAAGCCAATACTATAGCAGTTATTCTTGGACAGTTCTTGAAAATAACATATGTAAGTCTTGCACAATTGTTAAGGGTATTTTAGCCATTCTTTGCAAAACTGTAGTTAATTCAATTCATGATACTAAAAATTGAGTTTTTTCCCCTTGCTATTTCTTTCTAGAGTAGATCACTGAAGATAGTGAAAGCCATGCAAGATATTCAAATTCTTCATCTCTTATCACCAGTTCTATGATGTGAACTGTCATTTGTCATCCTGATGCACTGCATCCCTTTTTAGGATTAAGTATTTGAACCAGTGGATGCATAGGGTTTTCTAAAATATGTTAATAGCAATGAGTATCCATAAAAATAAATAAATAAATAAATAAAAATCAGTGGTCCCAGAAAGTCCAGATATTACAGCCCAAACCATTACCAATCTACCTCCATGCAAACTTTCTTCTGACTAGAATCAGCTAATTAATAAATTAGATTGTTATAATATCATATTGTCTGTGAATGAAGCTAACATATCATGAACAGGTTTGTCCTTTCTATTTAAATTAAAAATATATACTATAAAAAGATATAGAAGCACAAATTCTCATGGAAATCTTTCATGATTGGTGCATAATGCATTAAACATGCAAGACTATAATGTTCTAGATTATAGATTTTCACTGCATTAGTTATGACTCCATAAAAATATATTTTATTAAATAATTATTTACTACAGTTTCCTCTACCTTTTTGATCTTGTCTCATGCTTGAAAAGACCCCTTCAAATGTTTCTTCTCCTTTATCATGATGAAGTATTTCTACAGTGAAAATACCAAATATTGAGTATAAAAAAATTAAATGCATAAATTATCTAAGAAACAAAAAGGGAGGGCCAGAAGTTACATACCTTGTATTATATTATAGGTTTGATATGGTTTATTTAAACTTATTGCCAAACCTAGAGCTTTGACCCATTTTTCTTCAAGAATTAAATTAGAAAGCTGTTGTTCTCTAAAAAGAGCATGGACAAAGAATTAATAACAATAAATACAAATTTACTTGAACAAGAATAATGATAGCTGATTTTAAAATCCATATATGAGCTTAAATTTAAAAATGAATATAAAAAACATTTTAACACATCATTAAAATGCACATTTGGATGCAAAATAATTATGCAGAAAATTTTCATGGTAGGCATGAGTTGTAAGAATATAATTAAATAATAATAGTAATAAACATAGATAATCATGCTTTCTAAGTGGATCACCTCAACAAAAGACAAAACTCATACATTGGGTTGTCTGGAAAATAATGCTTTTTACCACCAGAGGTTGGTTCTATTTTTTTAAAACCAGCTAACTTCATCCTAAACTGTATTGTTATTGTATATTTTGACAGCTGACATTTCAAGGCTTATTTTTAAAAAAATTCGCTAGATTCTGTGCATTTGGTGTTGGCTGTACCTTCAAATATGGATAATCAAAAGCAGCATTTTTCAGCATACTTTGCTATTTTATTACTGAAAAGATAAGCATACAGTTCAAGCATTAAAAAAAAAAAATTGTGTAATGTAAAATACTGCACAAAAAAAGGGGGAGAACAGTTCTGTATCTCCAGTTCTACTCGGCTGATTGACAAAATTCAAATTGTGTTTTCAATGTCTCGAAAGTGTGACTTAGGGCATTTATAAGATTTATACATAGCTTTGTTCTAGCACAGATATTTTGACACAAAATCAAACTTTTTATCAAATACCATACCAATCTTTTCCCATATTTCCATTCTATGACTCAAATTATGGCTAAATATTAAATTTTGTCATTTTTGGTGAAAAATTTATAGAGAAATTTAAAAATTTATATTGGCGATTTTTTTTTTCCCCCCCAGTTTGTGCCGGCGAACTTGTTAATTTATAGTATCCTAGTTTCCTTTCCTTTTTTTTCATTGTCAATGATCGCAAAAAAGTTATCATTCATACTTTCAAATAATTTTAACAAAGTGCGTAAACTACATTTTCATTATATAATTGCTTATAATAGATAAGCAAAATTTCAAAACGCACCAAAATATAAATTCACATATATTGTACAAAATTTTGAATAAAAAACTCTAGTTTTTTTGCAGGTATGCTTAAAAATACATCTACTTTAAGATGATGGCAAAACTTTTATAGGTTATAATACAAAATGTTTTTCAAAAAATTTTTTAATTTTTTTTAAATCATGAAAAATTGGTGAATTGTATTTGGAATGAACCTAAATTTTGAAATATGAAAGCAAGAATCAAATACGTTTATTAAAAAAGGAGATATAATAGATATATATCAAAGATATTAATAGAATATATATCCAAATTCAGTTAACATTTAGGAGGTAAAATTTTGATAGCTAATTTTTTAAAAATCATTCATGTGATTTTTACAAAACTCAGCAGTTGGGCATAATTTGAGTTGTAGATCGAAATGTGGAAAAAAATTAGTATGTCATTTTAGAAAAAGTACAATTTTGTGTCAAAATACCTATATTAAAACAATGCCATATATAAATCTAACACAATCTAAGTGCACTTCAGACATGAAAAAGGGACGTTGGATTTCATCAATCCGCCCGGTAGAACAGGAGATATAGAACTGTCCTCCTTTTTTTTCCCCGCAGTGTACATGGAAAAGATGTAATGACAAAACTGGTTTGCAAAATTTTGTTCCGGAAATATTAATATTGAAGATGCATCACACTCTTGAAGGCTTTGAAATTAATAGCGTAATTTTTCACAATAAGTAATTTGAGTTTCATACTGGTTTCAGAATTAATGGTATTATTTTCTGAAGTAAGGATCTAATTGCTGCATTTCCCTTCATTTAACTCTTAACTTCATTTAACTGCATCTCTTCATTTAAACATTTAGGCTTGTTATTACTTTTAAATGTTCCTTTAAAAACACCAAACTGTGAAGTAATTATGTGCATGACTTAATACAGTAATTTCACTGAATACAATACTAAAATAAATGAAACTATGAAAATGCTCTAAATCAGAATTCAAATATATAATATGATATATGCTGCAATAATATTTTTATTTTACATTAATTTAATAACATAAAAGTTTCATCTTTCCTTGGTAAATAAGGTCACAACAAATTACATTAACTTATCAAATTTTTCAAAGCAAGTATTAGATATATTTCACTCTTAAGAACTGATAAATGTACGTTTATTAGTTTCTTAGTGAAATATATTCCAAAGAAGCAAAATATTATGTATAATTTTATAGGAGAGAGCCCTTACATGCTTTCCCATAATCAAATAAACCAAACCAAACTTTATTCTTAAGTTTATACAATTTTTTGAAATGTAAACTGATTTTTCAAGAATTATTTGCTTTAGTATAAAATGGTAGAAGTTAAGAAATTGAAAGAGAAGAAAGTTAAGAAATTTTGGTTGAACTGTTTTATTGATCTTTGTTTTTACTAGATTTGATTTTATTATGGTAAAAATTAAATTCATACATTATATTGTCATAAATCAACCCAAGAGAATCGGTACTGCTAGTTCTTGAAAATTCTTCCCTCCACACAATAGTACAATATATAATATGTTTATAGTGCAATAACTATAACATCAAATTAATTTCCAGTCTTCTGATTTCAATGTTTGATTTCTTTCCATCACATAGCATCTTTTTATCCTAAATAAATTTTGCGCTTTAGAAAAGTTTTGAGTTCAGTACTAATTAACAAAGAAATAGCTTAAAAATTTTCTGATTCCAGAATTTTTTAGAAATAATTTTATTTTCATGTAACTTTTAAAATTCATGATGATATTTCTTGCATCAACAATAACATCAATCATTTAGCTGCTGTGTTCTCCTTATATCTTCATACTAATTTTTTGCAAAGCATTTAAATCTACATTATTTTAAAATAATCTTTTAAATAGGTACAATGATGAGCTACTTACATGCATGTCTTAATAGGTATAGCAGTTTTTTAAGTATGAGTTTGGAAAAAGATAAGTAATCAGAAACTTACTGCAAAATAAACTGTTCTTTTTCTGCTATGCTTTTCTCTTTTACAGCACCAGTAACATCCTATGGAGGAGAAAAAAATGTGATAGTTATTCATTTTTTCTATTAATTTTTTAAGCAGTTAATAAAATTACAAAACTTGAAGATAACTGTAATCAATTTAAACAAAGTAACATGTAGTAAAAAAACTGATTACAGACAAAAACATCATAAAGAAAACGTCATCAAACAAAACATCATGGTAGAAAAGAAAGCAAGGAGAAAACACTGCAGTTCTAAAACACTGTGGTACAAAACGTCATCATCAAAAATAAGGGGTTAAAAAACTTTGGACTTCAAAACATCATCATTGAAAATTTCATGGTAAAAAAAAAAAAAAAAAAAAAAGTTCCTGCAAAATGACAGTAATATCGCAGACATGTGTGTTTTAGTCTTTAAAAATTCTAAATGCATATTTGTGTAATGGTTTGTGAGCACAAACAGGAATGAGGAATATTTTTGCTTTTGTAATAAAATAGAATAGGAATATTTTTGCTTAAAATGTAAGAAGGAAATTAAGCAACTGAAAATGAGTATAAAATTAAACCTATTTATAACAATTAATAAAATATTAAGCTTTAGTTAACTAATATGAGCCATTCATTAATTAAACTCCTTTAGAAGGTTTTATTGGCATTGTTTCATAAATTTATGCCTACACAAATCCCAGCTTTCAACAGTGTAATAGATATATATCAAAGATATAATAGATATATATCAAATTCAATTAGCATTGAGGAGCTAAAATTTTGAGAGTAGTTTTTAAAAAAATACTCGCGCAAGTTTTACAAAACTTGGCAATTTGGCATAATTTGAGTTGTAGAATCGAAATATGGGAAAAAATTGGTATATCATTTCAGAAAAAGTCCGATTTTGTGTCAAAATACCTGTATTAAAAGAATGCTATATATAAATCTAACACATATCCTAAGTTGCACTTTCAAGACATGAAAAAGGGACGTTGGATTTCATCAATCCACGGTAGAACAGGAGATATAGAACTGTCCTCCTTTTTTATCCCCGCAGTGTACATGGAAAAGATGTAATGACAAAACTGGTTTGCAAAATTTTGTTCCGCAAATATTAATATTGAAGATGCATCACACTCTTGAAGGCTTTGAAATTAATAGCGTAATATTTCACAATAAGTAATTTGAGTTTCATATTGGTTTCAGAATTAATGGCTAAGCAAAGTACAGAACATGTCACTGTTTTACTTTCTGCAAATGCTAATGTTATGAGAAAAATGACTCTTTTAGTTACAGGAAAGCCACAAAAACCAAAGTTCTTCAAACACATTAAAACTCTGCCATTGGAATACAAAGCAAATAAGAATGGATGACTATGGACCTTTTTACAGAATAGCTCAAAGTAAACAAAACTAGGAGGAGACAAAACCAAAAAATTTTAGTTTTTGTGGACCAGTGTACTGCCCATCCTCACAACTGATTTCTTGAAAAATATGAAAGTTTTTTCCTTCCCGCAAATTGCACTAGTGTAGTACAACTTTTAGATCTGCGCGCCGCTAAGAATTTGAAACTGTCAAAGATTGACTCAAATAGCCTTTCAAAATGTCGGTTAAAAATTGCTTCATTAACCTTGCAAAATTTATGACAAATTCAGTTTTTAATGCACATTTCTTGCATATTGAAGATGAGATGTCTGAAGGTCATTTCTATTCCTCCTTTCTACCCTTCCCCACATCATGCCCAGTAAAAAATAAAAATAAATAAAAAAATTAAAAAATCATTTGACCTCTCTTTCCCCCCCCCTGGGCATTTGTGCTACGTGGCAGCTTTTCCTTAAAAATTACGACATGCGCGTGTTTGTGGGTGAAAATTCAGACAATATTTTTTTTCTCGAATATTTTGTAATTTTGTGTTATAAATTGCTGTGTATTATTTTAATTTGAATACATTTGGCTCTGTAAATTTTATATCAGTTTTCATGGCAAAAAAATATGTGCAACCAGCTGATTTTGCTCGCATTCTTCAAGAACTATCTTATGAAGAAAAGGAAGACAAGGAAACCTTTGGATGGGAGAACAATAGCGATTTCCATTCCTTATTCTCTTTTATTTCTATTTTTTAGAAAAAATAAAAATATTAAAGTTAGTTTAAAGTACGTTTTTGTAACCAGTAATAAGTAAATTTCCTTGCAGAAAGTTAATAATGCTAAACTTACTTTTTTTATACCAAGGGTTTTCCTTTTTATTTGTCTATACTTGCCTTGATGAATGTTAAATTAGGTTCGATTTAAAATATAATTATTAAATAATAAATTTAAAGTTTTCTATATGAAATACATCATTGCATTTCCATCTCACTAACTAAGAACTTAAAAAATTTACTTATATGAATGCGACATAATTTGTATTTTGCAATAATAAGATTAATATTTTATTTCTTAATAAATTTATTATCAATATTCACTCATTTCTGTTGTTTTTCGTGCCAAAAACGGTAAAATAACGGATGACATAAAAAATATGAGACGTGCACGCACTCATGTAAATTTGCCCAGCGCACTTGCTGGAAGGTTAAAGGCTTTTCAAATTCAGAGACAAATGAAAGTGCTGACAATGAAAATGAAACTGTGAATATGGATGAAGAAGGTTGGAAACTATTAAGATTAGACATTACAATCAAGATTATGTAAACTGTGATACCAATGTAATGATGCCAAACTTAGGCACAGCTGAAGAACTTTCTGAAAAAAATTAACCAGATGAACACTTAAGTAGTGGGGATGAAGGAGAAAATGAAGAAATAATCCCACCTTCTACTGCTAAAATGCTATCTACTGCAATGACACCCTCAGAAATTTCTTTGTGTGTAATAATACAAGCGAGAAAACATTTCAAGAGCTGATAACACTTTCCTTTGGACTCAGAATCAAAAGACATGTCAGATGACAATTAAAATTTTTTTCTTTTAAAAAAGTTAAAATTTGCTTTAAAATGTTCTTTGAGAAAAAGTGTTATTTATTTGATGATAATTCAAATAAGGTATGACCTTCTTCTTGTCAATTTTACATAACTACTTACAGAAATTTACATTCTTATGATTTTACAAATATTTAATCTCTATAAACATAATTATTTTTAAAATATTAATGACAAAAATTTTTCATTGTTTAAATTAATATCAATTAAATATTTATTTAAAATATTAAATTTTTGTTTGAACATCTGAACATTTTAAACAAACTGAAAGTGCAATAAAATTGCATAATATCATTAACAAGTTAGTAGTGTCAAAATTGTGCAGCTAATATGTATATGTTTCCCATTGTAAATTTAAATTTTGTTTGTTTATTGTTCGTGAATTATCCCTTGAAAGACGTATAAATGGTGCTGCACTACATGTATACAATTAAAATCTGTGTGCATCTGTCGGCTGGTTGGTTTGTGGCATTATCACCTCCGAAACGGTGGGGAGTTGAGTTTCGAGAGAGGTACCCCCGGATTCCAAAAGTTTGTCGAAAACTATTTCGACCATTGTCATCTTCTTATGACTTTAATTATCTGTGATGTTAATTAAAACTCTAAAAACACTAATTTTTGCCCTCACGTTTTTGAGTGGCAACAGTCTCACACACTGGAGGTAAAAATCTGCTTAATTTCAAGAACTGTTGCACTGCTCGCTTTCAAATCGTAGAATTTCTTAAAAAAATTTCTAAGTTTTACAAACTATGAAATACAAATATCATTGCGAAACATAACTGCATTGACGGTGGCATGGATAATTCATTGTTCTTTTCATGCAGTGGCGCTTGAATTAGGGGTCCATTTCGTGGAACGAATAGAGCTTTGAAACAAAGCCAAGAATACAGCAAAGAAAGTAACAACATAATGTGATATTTGTAAGGGTAAGCCGGCACTTTGTTTAGCCTGCTTTAAAAAATTGCATAGAAAAAAAAAATAATAATAATTATATTTATTTTATAAATTACATTTTAAGTTCTTTGTTTTGTATTGAATGCTTGACTATACTGTTGAATAATTAAAATAAAATAAAATTTCGTACTATGTATTTTTTGATATACAAGGGTGAGCCATCGGAGTCAGACAGACAAGTACGACCCACCGGTGGGTCAGGCCGGCATCAATGTGTTAAATACACTCTTTTGCAAAAAAATCAAAGCACTATGAAATTGAATATATGTATAGCTCATACACAGATAATAAAATGATTAAAAAATCAAGGTCATAGTACCTGTTCACAGGTCACAATCAATTGCATGTTCAAATCAGTAGTTGGTCGAACAACCCTTGGCGGCAATGCATGCTTAAATTCGTTGAAGCAGAGTAGTAGAGGTTCCTAATGTCATCCTGCAATGCATTCTGCCAGACATTCATCAGTTGTCGCTCCAGATCTGCGATATTTGGCAGTGCCCTAATCTGGCACCCTCCATGTCCCAGACATATTCGATTGGTGAAAGGTCTGGTGACCTTGCTAGCTAAGGAACAGTATCAACCACACAGAGGCAGTCCATAGATATGCCAGTAGTATGTGGCTTGGCATTATCTTGTTGGAAAATGGTCCCAGGATGACGTGCCATGAAGAGTAACGCAACCAGCCGCAGGTTGGTATCAACATATCGTTGACCTGTTAAAGATGTACAGAGGATGACTAAAGATGACTTGCTGTCATAAGAAATAGCACCCTACACTATCACACCAGGGGTTATGGCTGTATGCCTTTGTAAAACAAAGGCTGACTGGGACCACCCACCCCTTCCTAACACCATGGTCATCTGCTTCAAGAGTGCAGCGGGATTCATCGCTGAACACTATACGATGCCAGTCTGATGGCAGCCATACCACTCCAGATGACCCCGATGTTGTGAGGTCAATGGCAAACGTCTTAAAGGCTTCTGTGAGGGTAACCCCACCTCAGATAAGCATCGTAAGATGGTGGACGGTACCACGGGAGGTATAGATGTGGCTGTAGTGCGTTGAATAGTTGACAATGATACAGCTGGGGTGGTTCAGGCCTGGCGAACAATCATCCTATCTTGCCTCACATTTGTGATCCTTAATCTTTCAGAGCCTTCATTTCGTTGGCAATTTCCTTGTAGCAACTATTGCTGCCAACATCTTTGCACAGCAGTGTCTGTACGCTGCAGGTGGCAGCCTACTTCACGCAACTCTACAATGCGGCCACGTTCAAAGTCGTTTAGTTGTCTGTAAGGTCTTCAACATCGTCGCAATGGCATTTTTAGTTGCTTCTTTACGGAATTACAATGGCAGCAACAAAAAGATAAATTTTCCGCCTCTGTTACTGGTGTTATACTTTGCAAATCGTTTGCATGTTCAATCAAGATATTTTTGCATACCAAATTCATCATGATCGTAAAAGTCCTTCTTGGTGCTTTGTTTTTTTGCAAAAGAGTGCGTATTATTTCCAATTCCAAAAATTGGTGGGAAGCAATTGCAACCATTATAATCTTTGAATGACTTTAATCAGCCCAGATATAAATTGAAAATTCTAAAAATGCTAATTTCAGAACTCATTTTTTTTAGTGGCACTGGAGATAAAAATCTGTTTTATTTCAAAACGTATCGCCACTGCTTGCTTTCAAATCGTAGGGTTTAATAAAAATTTGTAAGTTTTACAAAATATGAAATAAAAAATAGCATTGCTACATTTTAAACTATTATTATATAAGGTCATATTCTGCCGTTGAAGAAAAAAAGTGATTGCATGTGACGTCACTGTATATCAAAAATTTTTTCGTTTCAGCAATTTAAATAAATAGTTGCTGTTGGCAACTTTTTTGTTTCAGGTTAGTATAACACACACAATATATTAATGCCACATTAATTCTTTTATTGATATTGAGAAAATGTTATACTATATTAAATTTTTAATAATGACGTCATATTAACCTAAAGTGTCCAAAGTTGGTTTGGCAATAAAAAATTATTTACAAATTGGTGGTTGCTTAGAAAGAAAGAACTAATTTTGTTCATACTGAAATGTTTTCAAACATTTCCTTTGTAGGGGTACATAGAACTTACAAATTGTCCGTTGGCTGCAGCCCACTCACTTGGAAGGCTTTCCCGCTAGCATACACATAAAAGTCATATATTCACTTACAGAGCTAATTTACAGAACATAAGTAATACAAACTACCAAGCAAAAATATCACTCTACACTTCAAGCAATGATTTTAACTGGCTTTTAACCTTCAGTAGAATTCCCCCTCCCCAATTTTAATTTAAAATGTATAAAATTTTTAAAAAATAAAATATTCTCTATGAGAAAAGGTTGTAGGTTTTTCAGTCATGTAATTTCAACAGTTCTCTTATAAATATGCAATTTAAAACTAACCTGCCATATAACTATATTAGAATCAGCCCCTCCAGACACAAGATATTGTTCAGATGATGATGTAGCCAAGGTCCAAACTCTTGTACTATGTTCAGCAAGTGACTTGATACACATGTTATCAGTGATGTCCCACAACTTTATATTGCCATCAGAGCTACTACATATTTAGATTTAAAAAAAAAAAAAAAAAGAATATATATGTCAATAAAAAATCATGAATCATTAATAAAATTTAATATTTCAATATACTCTATTACAATGGACTCTCCGAGTGCCATAATCGTCTTTATCCAACCATCAGATTTTTTGTCGCTTGGTATCAAAAAACATTTTGCTTTCTAACTTTCTTTAATAATATGAATGTCATCTTAATAACTGTAAGTTTGTGAAAATAGAGACTGAAATAAGTAAATATACAAATTAAGCTAATAAATGCTCTTTAAATACAGGTCTTCAGGACAGATCCAAAAACCCACGGCCACTCAGAAGGTTTTAAAAAGATTTTTAAAATAAAGCAATATTTTAATGTGCTTGAACAAGACTGAGGAACTGAAAGGTAATCTAAATCTTGAATCAGAACACAGCATTTTATAAACCTGATTTCAACTTCCATATTTTTACCTAATTTTACCACTTTTTTTTTTTTTTTTAAACTTTATATTTTAACACATTGATTTCAGTTGTAATTGATTATTCACAAAATGCATTTCTCACATATAAGCAAACTGACTATATAACCACAGACAAATAAATAAAAAGTAACCTACAACAAATGTAGTTATAATAAAGCTACAAAAAATATTAATCAAAGTTAAAACTCCACCTGACAGCTAAAGTGTTATGAATATTCTTAGCCACGGATGTTCTTTTTAAGCCTTAAAATATTTTTTAAGGATAATTTTTTTTAACTTTTCCATGCAATTTGCAAAATGAATACAAAAGTAATTTAGGTACTTTTTTCAACGTGTACTCAATATTTACTTATTTCTCATCTCTGTACTTTTAAGCACAAAGAACTCTTTTATGATGTCAATATTTTTTAAAACAAAAAATATCCGTATTCAAATTTTTCATTATGACAAACTTCAGAAAAAAACTAAAATTATTTGGCATTACAAATAATCATCAAAAGGAGAGTTCATTACATTTATTTCATACATACTGAATATGCTACATCCGACATGTATGACACCTAGCATGGCTGCATATAATAATATACTAATAACACACTATTCTATTGTTTAAAATAAATTCAGAATAATAATAAAGCTAGAAATCACAATATGAAAGAATTTTAGATAAGATTTGCAAATGTAGCTTGAGAATTAAAGTAAAATAAATTGATTTACTCATTAACTGAGCAAAACAGGAGTGCTTATATACAGTCAAAAGTCTTTAAACTGGACTCGTCGGAACTTCAGCGATTCCGGATTATCGGTTTTTCCGGATTATAGATCATCAGTTTAAATCTGGTTACATGGCTTGCAGAAATTATAAAATTAAAAATATGAAACCATAATTTATGAAATAAAGAACAATTATGATCTAAAGGTATCAAAATTTACAAAAAAAAAAAAAAGCTTAATGTTTATTTGTTTACCTTATTAAACATTTCTTTCAATGCGCGCATGCGTAAAGCATACATTACGCATAGTTGAAATTAAAAAATTGCAACCAGAAAACTATTTGATGTGTATTCGTGATATTTATAATGACGAGGAATTTTGATTTAAATCATATCAAAGACGGAAGTACATTGAGATGAAATACTACATTTAGTAATGGAATTATAAGCCAAATAAAATAAAAACATCTGCCCTGAAGATAAGGATAGTGCTGACAGATCAACTTCCAGTTCATTGCGCGCCATGACGTCTCCCCCTCCCGCAGAGCAGTGTGAAATTGATAAACAGATTTCGGAATGGTTTAGATAAACAAAGGATATGCTTTTTTCCATTTTTTGCAGCAATTTCACTTTTGTTTGATGGACATCGAAACATGTTTCGCTTTGTAGATACTTTGGCAGCTCCAAAATCGAAAATTCTTTTTGCACAATCGAAAGTTCAAACTTACTTTTATAAAATTGCTCTAATAGTCTGCAAAAAATAATAAGCCGGATCCAATTCGAAGATTAAGGAACAATGCAATCTGAAACATTAACTGAAGTAGATAATTTTAGCTTAGCTTATACCGTGCATTATACATTAAATGTGCATGCGTAAAGGTATTATGCGCATTTCTGCATTCATTTTGCGTTTACGCATGCGCAGAAAGTTCGTAGCTTTGAGGTCCGGATTAACGACTTTTGACTGTATTTTGATTTTTATGTAAAGTCTAACTTACGTTATGTCACTATCTAATACAGTCAAAAGACGTTAATCCGGACTCATCGGGACTTCGGCGATTCCGGATTATTGATTTTTCCTGGATTATAGATCATCAGTTTAAATCTGGTAAGACTGCATGCAGAAATTATAAAATTAAAAATATGAAACCGTAATTTATGAAATAAAGAACAATTATGATCTAAAGGGTATCAAAATTTACAAAAAAAAGCTTAATATTTATTTGTTTACTTTATTAACCCCTTAACTGCCGCGGGCATTTTTTTACGCCTTGCTCAGCCGATGCGTTAACTTCCCCAGATGCGCAGCCGATGTGTTAACTTTGCGAATAATTTTAGGTGTAGCAGCGCAAATGATAGCAGTTTGGAAGGACGTATATATATGCCTGGGGCAGTTAACGCATCGGCTGAGCAAGGCGTATATATACGCCCGCGGCAGTTAAGGGGTTAAACATTTCTTTCAATGTAAGTTGTTTAAGTTGCTTTGTTTTATATGATAATACTTTCTCTTTAATTCTATAAACAGACATAATTTCTTCTTCAGTTACAAAGTTCCGCTGTTCAAGTCCTATAATTGCTGTGTCGAGAATACCGACTAATTTGTCAATCAAAATTTTTTTGTTTTCAATAACCTATGTGTCGCTTTATTCACTATCAGAAGCAAATTATAATGATGAGGAATTTGATTTAAATCATATCAAAGACAGAGTACATTGAGATGAAATACTACATTTAGTAAGGAATTATAAGCCAAATAAAATAAAAACATCTGTCCTGAAGATAAGCATAGTGCTGACAGATCAACTTCCAATTCATTGCGCAGCGCGGCGTACCCCCCCCCCTCCACAGAGCAGCGTGAAATTGATAAACAGATTTCGGAATGGTTAGAGAAACAAATGATATGCCTTTATCCATTTTTTGCAGCAATTCCACTTTTTGTTTAATGGACTTCGAAACATACTTTTGTTTCGTAGATCCTTTACATATTATAAATATATATCAGAAATTCTATTTGACATAATCGAAAGTTCAAGCTTACTTTTATAAAATTGCTCTAATAGTCTGCAAAAAATAATAGCCTGGGTCAAATTTGAAGATTAAGGAACAACGCAATCTGCAACATTAACTGAATTAGATAATTTTAGCTTAGCTTATACCGTCCGTTATATATTTAACGCACATGTGTAAACGTATTATGCACATGCACACACGCATATTCGCAGCCTTAAAAGTCTTACATGCATGCGTCAACGCAACGCATGCGCAGAAAGTTTGTTGCTTTGAGGTCCGGATTATAGATCATTCCGGATTATGGGTGTCCGAATTAACAACTTTTGACTGTACTCCTCCTTTTGCTCTTTGTTGGGTTGGGTTCTCTTGGGAATCAGATTTATGATTAGAAACTTGATTTTGAAAGACAGGATATAGTTTGATAATAATGGTTTTTAAGATTTATTTTGAAAATTGATTTTTAAATTGCATATAGGTTGCATATAGGTTTTAAATTGTCTATAGGTCAATGTATAAGGTTAACCATATGCATCAATTAATGTTCAAGATGTCAACTGAATATGTGACATAATAGTGTGAACCTTGCAAATGGTCAAAGGTATATTAGCATTTAAAAAAGAAAAGAAAGCATTTTTAAAAAAAAAGTTTTTTTTTTTTTTTTCCTGAATTAATCACTTGTGAAAGGTTCTAATTTCACAAAAAAAAAAAAAAAAAAAAAAAAAAAAAAATATTTATTTGTTGATTCCAAAAGCATCTGACAGCCAAAGGAAATAATGTATGTTTGAAAACTTACTACATAACTTTGAACTCTTTTAATCATTTCAACTCTTTTAATGATTTCGGAATTATGTAGAATATTCTTACCTAGATATTAATTGTGTTCCTCGAGTCAAAAATAAAGCCTGAAGAACAGATGCTTCATGACCCTGAAATGTCTAAAAAGAAATGCAAAAAAATTCATTGTTACAATTACAGAAGAAATCAAGGAACACATCATAAATCAAAGTATGCACATTTTACAAGTAAATTTGAATAATAAACTTTATTTTACCAAGTCTGCTGAAACAGTATCATAATTAGATAGGTCTGGAAGAAGCAAATGATTCATTTCATGTTTTACAAATAAATTATATTAAAAATAATAATCAAAATTAGGAGCAAGGAGAACAGAAGTCAGTCAAACTTATTTTGTATGAAAATTAAAATAGTATAAAAATTATAATTTATTTTGTATAAAATTATAATTTGTATTTATGATAAAATACCTTTTATTTTTTGGATCAGTTTTAAATTCATATTCTGAAAACAGTATTTATTTATATATTAACCATATTATATAGGATCTCTAGCTGTAAATTAAAAGTATATTTCTAAAATTTGGAAAGGGGGTAAAGAAAAGAAAAATCTCTCAAAACAGTACAAAAGTTAGTTAATGAATACAAAAAAAAAAAAAAAAAAAAGACTGATTTGCATTGTCACATCTCCTATAAATAATAATATTAATTAAAAAACACATTAAGGGGTTAATTAAAATTATTGGGTTCAATTACTAGATTTCTTTTTCGTTATTTCTTAGTTACACCACATTTCGTTATTTCTTAGTTACACAACTTAGCATAAAAGTTACAGGCTTAGATCTATAATTATGCAGCTGAATCTAAAATGTATATTTCTAATAATCAGTCATCTAGATAATGGCGGATTGCAGATTCTTTAAATGGTGAACTATTTCAGTAATGCTTAAACATCTTTCTGCTCAGCCCTTTTAAACTTTTTCCTCGTAGACAAATAGGACAATGATCAAATTTTGATTTTCCCATATGATTCTCAGCAGGTACAGATTTGGCTACAGACATTCTGTATTTTTTAAATAATAATCATCTTACCTTTGGCACAGAATGCTGTATGTCTAACACTTGGCATACAGATGATTTTTTGGTAGCAAAACCTTTCCTATTGCAAAGTGAAGACAGTTAGGTAAAAAAGTATGTGAAACTTAGCCTTTCTGAAAAATATGAGGAGTGAAGAATCACTAATTTGTCATGCCCAATGTTCAGTGAGAATACATTTATTTTGCCCAAGATATGTATGACAGCAGAGCAAAAGTGCTTATGAAGAATGCCAAAAATCTTCCAGAAGGCCTAAAGAATGCAAAACCCCCATTCAGAAGATGGAACTTGGACAATGTGTTAAATACTGAAACAAAACAAACTGAAAAGGATAAAAAATTCCTCAGCCCTAAAAAATGAATTACCTGTATAGCTTATAAAAATCTATATATTTCCCTGAACAGCAAAATTTTCCACTTAGCGTCAGCTTTGAACACAGCTCTGCTTGAAAGCTCAATCAAAGAACTTGAACAGAATCAGACAAAACATTCATGTTCTCCGTTTTAATGATATCCTGGTTTTTCCAAGAACTAGTACTACACCTACCTTTCATAGCTTTTGATTAAAGAAAAAATAATAAAATAATGATTAAAAAAAAACTCTAACATGAAGGGATTTTTTGCTTTTCTAATATCGATGGGATCCTAAGAATACACTAATGATTTTAAGTGTTAGCAATTTCTTAGTCAAAATTTCCTCAAACCATATGAAAAATGCAAAAAGCATTTCAGTTGGGGATCCAGTAATTCTATAGCTAATTTAAGTTTGCTGTAGCCATACAAAATAACATTAAATTGGAAAGGACCAAATCTGAGTATTTATTAAAAACTGGGTTTGCTATAAAGGAGTCTAACTGCATATGTCTTTGGCAAATTTTTAAGCCCCATTGTGCCTCTATACCTGCTGATTCAGTATCAACAGTTTCAATCATCAGTGATTAACAGTGGGACTAGGGGGAAGTGATATTACAATTTCATAAATGCATGCCAAGCGACAATCAGCTGTAACATAATGAATTATTTAAATAGTGAAATTCAAACACAATTAGCATTATTATCTTCCCATATTCCTGCAGTAATCATGAAAATGAGCCACATACATCCTTCCTTTCAGACAAATGTAGCAAATGAAGAGGGTGAAAAAAATGGTTGTACAACTTTAAGTGTGTTCTTAGCTTACATGTTATCTTTTCAAATTCATGCATTTTTCCATCTCATACCCTCTATATAGAGAGCTGTGAAAGTACTTGAGAAATCTTTCCTTGTTTTCATATTCATACTTCTAAGTTAAAATTTGCTTCTAATATTCTCTCTTTTCTGATTGTGCTGCTTTAACAATTTCATTACATTTTAAAAATAAATACCGTAATTTCTGGAAGAAACGGCGCGGCGTTTACGTGTTTAAAACTTACATTTTCAGTGGGTGCGGCGTTTAGGTGCACTAAAAATAAAATATTTCCTATGATGGTCATTGCACATAGTTTGGATGGCCTTGTCATTGTGCATAGATTGGTGCTGTTCCCACACAAAAGACCACTCAGTTGCTTTTTGCGAACGTTATTTTGTTTATGTTCTTTCCCTTGAACGGACCTACATGCCTTATTCACCCTAAACGAGATCTCAGAACAATAACATTCTTCCCCCTTTCAAATCAACATTCTCATCAGTTTGAATAGTCTCTCTCCTCTGCCATTAGATGAATCTTCCAGGACCCATCCTCTTTCCACCCCTGCCTTTTCTGCAATTTTTTTCAAAGGCGGACACGACTCCACCTGCTTCGCAATAACAAACTCTGACGTATTTCCCCTTCAGCATGAATGGATTTTTCTTGGCATTCTGCCAAATACAGATCCCATCAGTTTTTAATTAGGGATAGTTTTAATTAGGGAGCGGAAAATTTTTGAAAATGTCTCTAAACAGCACAGAAGCTATACATTTCTTACCTTTAATTTATTTTTGAGTTATGGTTTCATTTCATGCATTTTTCTTAACCGGTATGTCATATATCAGGACTTAGGTTGAGTTTTTGCATCTATACGGCCCACGATGATACCACGCGCAATTTAATCTATTGCGGTGTTTCTGTGTAATTTTAATTTTTCCCCGCCATTTTTCTCGAGTGCAGCGTTTACGCGGATGCGGCCTTTCTTCCGGAAATTACGGTACTTCTTTATTTCTACCATTCCCCAGGAAATTAATTTCTTCATTCTTCACTTAGCTTTTGTGGATTTGCATAATGTAACATAATCCTTTAGTTTCAGACGAAGGAGGAATCTCAGAAAGTAATGATAAAACTAAGGGGCACTAATAACAAAGACACTAACACCAAAGCTGGGATGACAACACTATAGGAAACCAGCTTGACTACAAGTTGTGCCCTAAATCTCATAAGCTTGGCTATTTGCCTATTTGGCATAAATCTGAGTAGACCAGTTTGTCCTCAGAAATTATTTGCCCATGTTTCTGCACAATGTCTTGCTATTTTTGTGATATATGACCATAAACAACAGAGAGTGTGCATGAAACTTAGTTTTCTGTTGGGAAAAACTGCAACTGAGACTGCTTGAACACCATATCAAATGAAGAATGTTATGATTTAGACATCCACAGGCAAGAAAAAATGAGGAAAACAATGAGAAAATCCAGCAGATTGATAACAAAGAAAGTTAAAAGAACCATTCACAAGATTTCTGAAGACATTGCATCTGTAAAACAATTCTTAGGGAAAAACAATATGTTTGTACCTCACTTGTGCAACTCGCCAAATCTTCTTGTTCAGTATGACCTTTTTCAATATCTATGGGCAAAGATAATTCTCAAAAAAGCAATTCAATGTATAAAGGCAGTTTAATGATGTGGGTGAGGTGCAAGAAGTCCACTACCTGCTTAGAATAAATAACATTCTGTGTCGATAGTTCCTCAACTGCTTCCATGTATCCAGCAGAAAGCAAAATGTTAGGGAAAATGTATCAGTGCTAATGGGAAAAATGTATCAGTGCTAAGGGAGAAAGTGTATCATTGATGGAGAATAAAATATGCAAAAGATAAGTATAATAATTTTGGATATCCCCTTCATGTATACAAGAAAACGTATACTGTACTCAGAGGTGATTGTGACCCCATTCCAAAAATTCTGAAAACTATCATGGGCCTGCATCCATCATGAGATTTTTTGTCACTTGGTATATATTAGCTTACAATTTAAAATATTTTCTTTTCTTACTTTCTTTAATGACATAAATTACTATCTTAATGAATGGAAGTTTATGAAAACAGAGACTAAAGCAATTATATGAATTTAGCTAGTGAAAGCTGTTTAAATACAGATCTTTATGAATGGATTCAAAAAGCCATACCATTCAGAGGGTTGAAAATCCACTATAATTTAATAGAACTTTAATAGGTGATACTCACACATACATATATAAGTTATTTTCAAACAATTTTATTAGCAAAGCAAAAAATATGTAAAAACTAGTTTATTTCACTATATTATTTTACAAAGTTTACTACTTTTTTGTTTCTTAAAAAAAAATTAAAAAGAATTACTAAGTTTAGCTTGCTCTTTTTTGGAGGGTGGGGGTTAAGTTCTGGAAATAGCTAAATTTCTATTTTTCGTCTCTAACAACTAATATTCAATATGAAAAGTGAGAGAGGTGGTAAGTATGAATGTAGACAACAGTTTTTTACTTAATCCTCTGAGTATTGAATAGGTGATGGAGATAAAGAACTACCAGCCAGGTGAGAGAAGTTCACAAAATGCAAAGAAAATTGGTAAGCTACATAGCTATTAAATACATTGTCCTAAAAATCTTTAATAACAGGATCTCAAGAGGGATTTCCTGATCTAAAAATTTCATATGATTTTTTGTTTAATGAGAATAAATCGTATTTCATAGTTTGCACAGTGTCTAGCTATCAGTGTGCAAGAATATTCCAACCTGTGCTTTAATATCTTGGCTGTGTGAAAGGATATTAAATTGAAGGTTTAAATCTATTGCAATCTTCTTCACGTGTCCACATGATGCTCCCCTTTTATAATGAATGACCTGAATTTTATATAACCCAAAAGTTTTAAATTTATGATTTCTCTGAGTGATACATTCATTCTGAAAGAAAATTTGAGACTAATGAACCTACATTTAACAATAACAAAAACTGAGGATTTGAGAAAGTGAAAAACCTGAAAATCGAGCTATATCTGAATCACAATCACCCTTTCTACTTATTTTGTAGTACAATATGTAATGTAGCTTAGTGCAAATCCCACTTGATTAAGCAAGTAATGTCTTCGGTGATAATTCATCAAGTAAGCTTGATCCTATTACATGAATATGCTACGTTAAATTCCCTCCTCTACAACACACGGTTCTACATATCTACTATAAATCTTGGAATGTATTACCTGCCAATACATAGAAACTATCATATAACGATTCATTCAAAACACTACAAAATTCTAATAAAAAATTAATAACTTACTTTCAAGCAAGTAAAATCAACAACAGACCATATTCGTATAGTTTCATCACCTGAGGAAGTAACTATTGCCTAAAGGACAACAAACAAACAAAATTCAAATTTGCATATTTGCTATTTGCAACTAAGCCAAAAAAAGTCATATAGAAGTAATAATAAAAACAGAGATAAAAATAATATTAAACCCTAGATTTTATGATTTTTTTAACTCTCTTCATAAAATTTTAATTTATGAAATATTCCTTCATGATAGAATTATATATTAAAATGCATCTTGTAGGCACCTCTGAGATCCTCTTTCGCTAATCAAAAATCAAATTTTTGAGAACCACTAGGACACCAGTACATTCATATGCATTTCTGTAATGTGAAGCTCTCAATAATACTCTACAGAAACAAACGTCATTTAATAGCTAATTTTATATTTAAATGTTATTATTAATTATTTAGTAATGCATAATTTTTAAATATTACAAAAAGAATGCCTAATGTTCAGATAAGTAAAGGCTATAGCTGAATATACAAAAAATACAATTCATGATAGAAAAGCCAAATGAATGGAAAAAGAAATTTGCTGCTTAAAATTATAAAAAATGCCATCTTATTTAACACCAGCTTGAATATCAAAAGTCTACATATTGCATTACATAAGACTTTGAAGGAGGGGTAAAATACATTTCAAAAGTAAAAGCCAACATATTTCTCTATGTTCAAAGCCCAAATTTTGAAAAATAGTACAAATAAATCAATTATTGATGTTATTTAGCAAAATACTATTTAAATTGATAAAAAATAGGTGATAAACATATTATTATTATATTTGTTTTTCTTACATTTTGGATTAAAAATATGTTGTTGCTGTCTTGTCCATATTACATGGAACAATAGTTGCCAGAGCCTACTCCAAACAGAGGTTGGACTTCTATTTTCCACCCCCAATTTTGAGGGAGAGCACCAGGGGGGAATTCAGGAGTCTTAAGTTTCAGGATTACTAGATATGTTCCCACAAAAATATTTATTACTATTTTATTACTTCTATATTTGTCGCTTACATTTATTAAGGTATAAGGAATTTAATAAACTAAAATCTAAGTGATAAAATAAAATGCATATTACATATACCAGTTTAAGTACATGCACTAGCTGTTTTTCTTGAAACGATTTCATGATTTCTTTTCAATTGAATTCAATTCACAAAATTGTCTGGTTTCTTAAACAGGAACTTGCGGTTCACAGCATAGAACAAGAACAACCATAATTCTGCTTCTAATGACCGGAGAAACAAAATAAAAGTAGTTTTGGGAAGCTTTCACAAGCTTCAAAGTAAAGAAATAAAACTTTTTGAAAAATTTCATCAAAATTGATGAGTAGAACATAGATGGATACTTTAAACATTTTATAAAAAAATTATATGAAAATAATATCTTATTAGAACCTTATAACAAATTAGATGAAACTACATTACATCTTATACATGAAATCCCATCGATGATGAGAGTTGGCGAAAGTCCACCAAACTAGGCCAGTTATTCTGGCAGATGTTTCAAAGCACAGATTTCAAAGCACAGCTTCACTTAATTAGATAACCAAGAGATACAAGTAACGAATATAGCATATAAAAATTTAAACTGCTTATTAGAATTTATAATACTGCACTTTTTATTCCTGCACTTATTTTTTTATTTATATACACTTTTTATTCCTTTTCAAATAAAATTGCCCATTGTGTGTATTAATGGATGCTTTTTTTGATACCAGGATCCTATAATTTGAAAACACTCCAGCACTGCATGCTATTCCATTAAAAGTAGGTCCAAAATCTTAATTTTTCTCCACAAAATGTGAAGGGGGAGCTAAATAAAGTTAACTTATACGCTTCTTCATAAAAATTACACTGGTTCATCAAGAATTAATTCTGTGTATATAAAACATGAAACTCTTATAATTTTACTGTAATTTAATCCTTATTCATTTTTGGTGCTAACGTGCATTGTCTGGCAAAAGTTTCAAGTCATAGTCCTATACATGCTTTGCAATGACTTTATGAGTCTCTCATTCGCTTAATTTTGGGGGAATTTCTTTTTCTAATTTTTTAATATTCCAATTAACTGAACTTTCTGGTTAGTTGAATACCAGATAGTTAGGCCTTATTCTTCAACATAGCTAGCAGATAACACTGTATTTAATACAAATGGTTAATAAAAATCGCTGAAGAAAATTATGAATATAAAATCGAGATATGAAATATACTGCAGCAGAGCACAGTTTATACATCTTTCAAGCGACCCTTCACAAATGACATATAAATGAGAAAGACGTAGAAAAAAATTCTGACCGTCCTTTATTGAACTTCTTGGACACCAAATCTGTGGTTAGAAATTGTTGCCAAAGTCTATGAACCACAGAACAACTGACAGCCAGCCACATTGCTAAAATCCTCATTCAGAACAAAGTCTTGACAGGGTCTCTTTAATAACCACAGGTCACAAATACCCATCATCCAAAGCAACTTTATAAATTCTGCTACAAATTTTGATATTCCAAAGAGATTTTTGGCTGGGTCTAGCAACAATAGAATATTCCACCAAGTACAAATGCTGATATTCAAATAACAGGCAGTACAGCAAATCAGCTGGTGGTTAGTAAGTAAGCCATCTGGCTACTTCTGTCTGACCTTTGTCAACGAAGTCATGACAAAAAAGCCCAAAGAAGTTTGCCCATTAGCTTATGGCAGTAATGGACTAACTTCTTTGGAAGCAAGCCGAAAAAATTTAGCAGGACAATATAATTTATTCTAAAATTTTAAAAATATAAAAATATTAATATGATGAATGAAACTGCAACTGCATTTTTAAAAGTTCCTTAACCCTTTCCAGATGAGCAACCTATATACATATTCCCTATCAACGTCTCCCACAGCTTGGCATCTCACCAATGCATCACAGGAGCCCAAGGGACAGGTGATGCATATGTGCATTTTAAGCTGAAACATTTTTAAAAAACTACTAGATGGCATCCTGTGTCCATTACTTTTGAATTGTACATAGGTTTAGGATCCTAACCTTCAGTTTGATTATATTCTTACTAACTCTGGTATCTACTGTTGCAAAAGAGGAGGGAAAGTGTAATGTAAATAAACAAAGCTCCACTCTTCAACTCACCACGTGATATAAACATATGTGTTTCTTTAGGGTTACTATGTGGTGTTCTGTTATGCTTTGCATTGCTTTTACCACTTATATTTCATACACTTCCCTTTTTATTTCGGAAAGCCTTAACTTCAGTTTATTAATGGCGAGCAAGCATTACTTATCAGAGGAAGGATATACTCTCTTGGAAAATAAGCCAATTAGTAACATGGATGAGGGTGATGATTCATTTTCAGAAGAGTTACAGAGTGATATTTCTAGAGATTTTAATATGGACATTTTGTCACATCCTGAGATCACTGAGTGTCTGCCTTCCACTTCCTGCAAAAGATTTAATTACTCCTTCTTGTAAATAGACTTTTTTGTACTTTTTTAACTAACTTTAATATTTAGTAATGCATTTTGTCAATTAAAACTGCAGAATGATTTCAATATTCCTTCTGAAAAGTATTTCTCAAATTTGCAACTTTTTAATATATTTTCATATAAAGTAAAGGAAAAAGACTATTAAGTGCTAGTTTTAACATATGTGATAGCTTAAGTAATAATATAAAATGGTGCCGAAAATTCTGACATTAGGACTTAAACTTTTGTGTGTGTGTGTGTGTGTGTTTTCCCCCTAAAGTTAGGCTTAGCAACGCAAAATCCCCATCCTATGAGATGATTCCTTTCGATTCCCATCTGTCCCAAGGGAATAAATAACAAAGGCAAACAAAGGCATGCCATCTTTGAAAGAATTAAATTTAGGTTTGAACTGTGGTGTACTAATTCTGAGAAGTGATGCTTAAAGGTTCTTAATCTTCAGACTATTTCTAATAGAATTTTTCCTAAGGTTCACGTATATAAGTTGGAGCAAATATAACACTAAGATATTACATATGGGAAACTTGCTTTCAGTAAAAATTTGTAAGCTCTAAGTTTAGAACATTCAAAAACACCTGTTTCAAATTTGTTAGATTTTAACTCAATTATTTGAAGCCGCAAATATGGCCTCACTGCTTACCAATTTACGTTGAAAGGCATGGTGAAAATATCCAACACCATTGAATTACACTAAAATTTTGAAATCTGCAATCAAACTATAAATACAATTCAGTTTTCTCTGGTCTTGTTCATAACTCTCAAGATTGTCTTCACTTATAGAGAATATTGAATTTAAACTCAGGAAATTAGACTTTTGTGTAAAGCAGCACATCAGAGTATTCAGATTGCATGGACTGATAAAATCTTGAAACTTCTTATAATTCAATCAGATTGAATAGTATTTACAAGACCTCACGATTACATCAAACTTAGTTTTCAAAATTAATGCAGATTTACATAGGGCATCTTGATGAATAATGCAAAACATTGTTCCCAGAATAGTTTTAATTGAAGGGTCCAAAAAGTCCAGATTTTTTTCCTACCATACTGGGTGTTCCATCATCATAATATTACATATGTTTGTTATGGTTACTTTTAAAGTTGAAAGACCTTCCAGAAATTTATAAAAGATATCATATCCTGTTGCAGCTCCCTTTAATAACCGCATGCATAGCAGTTCCTTGTTACTTTCAAAGTTCTCATTAACAGCTCTTATAAATAATACTAGTTGAGCAGTATCATTTATATCAAAACTTCCTCTATAGCTATGAAGCAGAATTTGAACTGGCCAACCTTTGACTCTAAATGTAATATCAGATTTTTACTGATGGCTTCGACTCTAGAAATCCCCATTTCTTAAGATAAGTTTACAGTCTCAAAATCCTTTTCTAGGCATAAAACATCACAAACCTGCAGCATGCATTGTTTAATGAACTTCTCATAATTCAGAGTTTTATTACTTTTAGCAATACAATATATTACAATGTAACTTAATGTGAAGCTTTGCTTCCAGGATACTGTTCACCTTCTTAAAATCTTCACTTCTATTTCAACATAATAATTGTCTACAAAAAAAAATTTTTTTTTTTTTTTCCCCGTATTTGGACATTTCTTCATAACTGGAATTCTTATGCTTTGATGGAAAGTGATGGGGAAAAAACGAAAAGCAGTACTTTTATTCATTTAAGAAGATTATCAATAAATATTGTTTACTGGAGTATTTTGAAAGGGAGATGTATGTCTTATTATACTTGTCTGTGCTCATGCATAACAAAAAAGTACTAGATGAAGCTGCAAATGCAAAGTGTAAATGCCAATGTAATGAGATAACAGACCTCTCCTACATGAACTTATTTTCTGATCATGACATCCTTTCTGTTTCGGCTCAAGCTGTTAAATTTTAAAAGTTTGTTATGTCTACTATTTTAAAATGCCTGACTGAACTTACTCTCTTTGGTAACAGAACCCCCCCCCCTCAAAAAAAAAAAAAAGAAAAGAAAAGAAAAACAAATTTCCGAAACCTTAGTCACTACACCCACAGATCTTTAATTTGATGCTCCCAATGACAACATCAACAAACAATGGGAGATGACAACCCACCTGCTTCTAAATTTTCATCCGAAATCTGGATATGCAGGATGAGCATCCTGATTTATTTTTCAACAAAAATATCAGTGACGGGAAAGCTAATTTTTTTTAAGAACAGGTTGCCCGAGAACACACAAAATTATTTATCATCCAAAATCATTTAGAGAACCCGTATCACAAACTGCCCGGTCCCCACAGCTCGCAAGTCACAGGGTGCGGTAATTTACCTCTGATTTTCTCTTTTTCTTTTTACATTTCTTTTTCTGAAAAATTTGCTCATGCCTCTCGAGAAACAAATTTTTAAGACCTCACTAACACTAAACTACGGACTGCCTATAAAATAACTATTGGCTAAAATTAAAGATAAATTAATAGTTACCCGAACCAACAACTATCTAGAACTCTCTCCCACCAACGAGAAAAAGGGTAATAATTTACCTCCAAATTTCCAAGAAAGTCTAACCTTCTTTTAAAATGACACACCATGATCTCATGCCATACATCAAGGAATGTTTTCAACCGTAATTCTGTCAAAGTTGTGACACCAGTTAGTAATAAACATATCACAAAAATCTCCAGAAAGAGATGAAGAATTTCTTGCCTCCAAACAAGCGAAACACATGTTCAGTTTGGAAATAAAGGGGTGGGTGGGAGTGCAACAGTCCGCCGACCCTTGACCCCAATGTGTGTAGCCTCGCGGGAATGAAAATCACCGGCATTTTAGCTGTACAAAACTTTCAGCAAGTTTAACAAAAGTATATCGTATTCAAACAAAAAATGAGTTTAAACAATAATATATTAAAAATTAATTCTTTAATATTAACATTATAAATTCCCTACTCACTATAAATGCATTCACTAGGTTAAGAGTCATAGCAGAGTTTAGAATCTATATGCATTTCGTCAAAACTGAAAACGCATATTTTTTCTACAGAATTCAAATATTCGCATCATTCCTTCATTACAGCAAGAACATCACTCTGAAATCCCGGACTACATGAAAATTTAGTGCACCATTTCCTTAAGGTGTTAGTGCTAGGTAAAGGAATTCCTATTTTTTTCTTTCCAAAAATCATAGCTTTTAGATGATAGAGCTCTTATGACAAGTATTGCATTTCAAAAGTTTCTTTTGCCGCAATCCAAGCAAGCGATTTCTTATGTCATCTTCATAATCACTGCACAGAAAATGTTCGCCACAAATTCTTGTGTTTTTCACATTAATAGAATCCTGTCTTCAACATTCATGTATCCATTCTTCTGCCAAAAGCAAATTGTCCTTTGGAAATCAAGAAATACTATATCTCTTCCTTTCGTATTTCTATAAGCGTTACGGCACGTTGCTACAACACAAGAAGCCATATTACATAAAGGATATTTTAAATATAGAATTTAAAAGGAATACTAACTAAAACTATATATATATATATATACAAATTATTAAATAATTGCACTGTTAGAAAACAAATATGTATGATTAAAATTAATTTGGGATATGCGACCTCCAGAAAATCATTTCGCAACTGAATGAAACTACAGTTTTAAACGGGCGAAATCAGAGCAGGTGCAACACAGACACGTCAGATTACTTCCAATTCACCCCTCCAAGAGGCTCGCGTCGGCGAGGAGTCGAACAAAGAAATGACCTAGCCCTTCTATTTATCCCTGATATATACATATATATATATTTAACAAATAAGGGAATAAACCAGAAGTTTTATCACTTGGACGAATTTAAAACTTCAAACTCCTTGAAGAAGTTCCCCCCTCATAATTGTTATTATATTTACATTTAATTCATATACAACACTTTTATGAAATAACAGAATACTATTTTTAGTTATTATCAAGTTTTTTGCTACTTTTTGATATTCAGAATTTAATATTACCCCTTTGTGATCCAGAAGCACATGCAGATACATGATTTTGAGCAATGCTTCATTGAATTTCTCTATAATACTTAAATGTAGGCAAAACAGCAACCTTATTTTCCAACAGATTTTAAATAAAACTGTATTGATTTCAAAGGTGATCAGACACAGATCACTTCTTTGGGAATAAAATACGTTGGCAGAAATGTTTTTGCTCATGAAGAAGTGGAACATATGTCTAATTGTTCTTGAAATCAATAGTTTTGTTTAAAATTTGTGCCGGATAAATTTGCTGTTTTTCCCAATTTTACATTTTCCTACGACATGTTTCTCTTCCTTTTTGATTATCCATAAAAGCTTGAAACTGACGTAAGTTGAACATCTTCTAAAAGTATGTATATATGCATCAGCAATTTTCGTGTTACAAAAGTAATTACTGCAGCACAGTTCTCAACCACATTTTTGTTAAATTTTTTTCATTATTTCTCATTTTATTACAGAAAAATTAAAGCATTAATATCTTAAGTGTACATAAGTTTTTTTTCCCCCTCTTAAATATGAACCAATAAAGATTCTACTTTTTCCCTCTATTTCCAGCACCATATACACAATTTCTTTGAAGGGTAATGCATATGAATACATCATTAAATCATGACAAGCAATTTATTTTATTTATTTATTAATTTATTTTTTGGGTTTGGGTCTTTTTGGGTCCTTTCATTATTTTTCGATCATCCTGGAAGAACCTCTGGAAGAAACCCAAGCTGGATTATAAAGCCATGAATCTTTGTTTACTAAATTCCTTCTCACTAACTAGTGAGCAACAAGGGGAAAAAAAAATTTCTTTTCCCTTTAAATACTTCTCCAATAATACTTCATTCAAACTTCCATGACATTAAATATAAATATATATACAAATTACAAATGATGTTCAACAACAGTTATTTAAAAGAATAAATACATTATTAAAATATACAATAAATTTATTACTTTCTGTCTTTGTATAAATGGAATTTCTTTCTTCAAAAACTACCTTACACACATTTTCATTTCCTAAAAAACTTTTATATTATACTCTCAAATAATCAGTACAAAATAAATGAAAACATTTTAATAGAATGCAACTGACTCTTTTCTGCTACTGGTTACACTAAAACTGTTTCAGAAAATGCTCCTTGGCTTGAAAATTAGATTGTAATGTGAATTTAATTAACACAAAAAATACAATTATCTGTAAAAGTTTTTTTAATGTTATTAAAATATTTTTAAATTTTTGAAATACTCAAAATGATGCTTCACAAGTAACTATCTAGCTATACTCCTGTTTCAATGATTTCTCTAGCTATACTCCTGTTTCAATCACACTTTTTAATAATTTTGTGAATAAGCATATCACTTTAATGCTACCCTTCTAAAATATTCTGGAAAGTTTACAGATGAAAATGCCTTTACAGAAGATCTGTGCCTATTTTTAGAGGAAGTAGCAGCAGTTCCTCTTCAGCATGAAGTGAAAAATTTACTTTTAATGAGATAATTCAGTTTTTTCAAAAACAGACCAGTACCATATTCTCTCAAAAGGCACAAAATATTTCTTTAAGATGAGGTTGAATTGTTCTGCATTTCAAAAAGTGTTGAACTACTTTTACCATCACAAGAAAATGCACGAACTTACCAAATCAACAGGTGAAAAATTGACACACCAAACACCCTTTTTATGTCCTCTCAATGTACCAAGAAGAGACAAATCAGTCGCATTCCATATCTAAAACAGATACCAACAGATACAGAAAACTGTAGTCAAGGATTTGAATAAGATAATAATTTAAAAGATTTAAAAATGGCTTTAAATATATTTAAAACACTTAATATGATAATCCAGTAAGAAATCATTATTGAAATCTTATGTAATCATTTCAATTCTATATGTTTTTAAAAAAAGACAGAAAGAGAAAGAAACTAACAACTATCTGTTAACATAAAAAAAACTTTGATTCCGCAAATGAACATATAAATAAGTCCCCTTGAATGAAATACTTAATAAAACAATTAAATAATATTTCTAAAATATAAAAATACTTTCAGTGAGAAAAAATTAAACAGGACAGAAATTTCAATGCCAAAATTCACATCAAAAATAATATATTTCCAAAAATTGAACAAGGCAACTATTTCATATTAAATTAAAAGAAGTAGAACATAAAAATTTTCAGTTTTTGTAGGAACTACAACAATCATTGTACCAGCAATAAAATAAGTCTGTGCACCAACATCTATCCCTATGAAAAATATACGATCAGTTCACAAAACAAAGCCCATCCTTCCAGTGTCTAAACTTATGTAGGAAGTGCAATAATCACTGTAGCAGCAGTAAAATAAGCTCATGTATTAATATCTATGCCTAGAGAACACACATGATAGCTCACACAACAAAGCATATTCCTACATAGCATAAATTATTCCTAAACTGCCAAAGTGCTCGAGCTTTCCACCTGAAGTTTTAATTATATAAGAAATATTCAACTTAAATGTAGGCACAAGAAATACTAGAATACGAAAAATAAAAAGAATTCATTTAAGATTTGTCGAAATTTGCACTTACCTGTTACCGTTTTAAGTGCAAACATCTTCTAATTTGATGTTCATAATATAATATTACACAGATTTTTTTATTTTGCAATTTATTCTTAAAAATTATCAGTAGTCTATGAGTACTATGATTTTTCTTTTTGTACACTGTGTAAAAAATCTTATGTTAATTGAGCAGTTATTACGATTTAAGTCTAACATAACTTCACCTTTTCTTATTCCTCACCAGAATGCAAATTAGATTATGTATTTAAGCTGAGGATTTTGTTTCTTTAGATAAGAGCTTGTGGCAATTGCACCTTGTTAGCATTTTTGACCAGCTCTGCTTAAACGTTATTTTCTGACTTTAGCATTTCCACTAGCCAATGTTTTAATTATGCACTGGTAAATATTTTGAGTAAGCTTATTTTTAGTCTATTTAATGTGTAGTCTTGCACTACATTATCAATATTTGAATTTAATTGTCCATTATTATATTAATATCCATAATTGGTACAAGTTTCATCTGTAACACAATTTGTGCCTGTTTTTAAGAAAAAATAAAAGGCTTATTTTAACCTCCTTCCATATTTTGTGAGTTGTTTAAAATATAGAGATAAAATCACTGTTTGTCTCCTAGGATATGTGGGACTCTAATTCTAGCTTCCAACTACAATAGCAACCCTACAACTGAACCAAAAAATTTCCTTATTGTTTTGTAATGTTTGAAATTCTATGCTGTATTTTATTTATGTTATGGAAATTTATCTATATCTACTGCTACTAATTAAAAAAAATAGTAGATATATTTGCTCTAATGGAACAGTGTAAATATATTAGTTAGTTCTAAGTTATGTTTTAAAGGAATTATCAAACTGTGGTTAGTGATATGTTAAAAAGAAGAAAAGAGACTGTGAATAGAGGTAGAAAAAATTTTGAAAAGCTTTAAAGAATTTACAAATTCCAGCCATGATTCAACAGATTAGATTTTAGGAAACATGAAACACTGTCCATGAAATTAGTGACTTAGAGCCAGAAAGCTTATTATCCAATGAACAGCTTATTTATCTTGGTATAACATGGATAAAAATATAGGAGAAAATCTAAAGAACTCACACCAAAATAAGGAAAAGACTTGTCCTACATCATATTCATACTCAAGTTGAAGAAGAAGAAGATAAAAAGGGCCTCTTACTGCCTTCAGTTTATTCAGCAATGAACTAATGTTGAGATTTGTTCAAAAATACACTGAAATCCACAAAAAACATGACAGCCAGGATTTCAGCATCACCTTTGATTATATGAAAACATTTTTAGGTCTGCAAGTTGACATATACCTGAGAAACAATTGCAGAATTAAATGGCATCCACGTATTTACCACAAAATATTGTGCAAAAAAGAATTTGAACTCATGAAAGATATGAGATTAAACAGTATCTCAAAGTACAAACAAAGAAAGGAGACATCTGAAATTTTGAATGACAACATAATGAGCTGCCAAAAGATCTATATTCTAAATTTTGATATCGTAACAGATTACCACCTATTTCTTTGTAAGTCGAATCTCCTTGACTTCCGCACTAAGCAGAATCACGTATACACAAATCTTTTACCAAACGTATCACATGTGACAAATTATAACTTATTTTAAGTAAAATGGTAGAAATACTGAACTTCTGAGTAGTTGCCTAAAGAAACATGAAAATGGATAAGATGAATTAGTTCATCTTTTTTATAATGTATAAACCACTTTTGGTCTTGATTACTGTCATTATTTTATGTGGTCATCTCACAAGTCAGAAATGTTCTGCAGGTACTTCAAGTTGTGCACTTTAACAGTAGTCCAAAGTTTCATTACGTTGGATGGTAGTAGGTTCTGTGCATAAGGTAGCATGTTCCGCAAAGTCTCAGAGTTGCTCAAAATTTATAATTAATTGTTTATTGATAGAAATTTGTAACATGTTACTATATGTAGAACAAAATTAAGGAGGAGAATAAAAGAAAATATTTAATATATTTTCTAAATCAAAAATATTTTTTAATATGTCAATGTTTTATGAAATTCATGAAGGAAAAAAAAAAAACTGTTACCAAACAACATTATTCACTTCCCCTCTTCTTACCTAGAAGAAGCAAGCTTTAGTCAAGTCTATAATTTACTTGACTAAAAAAGAAACAGGTTGAAAATTGTTGAATGAAGTGATTTAAGAGTTATGCAATTTTATTTCAACTATTAAAAATATTACCTCTATTCATAAAATGCAGCCATCACATTAATTAAAATTGAATTTTTGTGCAATTTCAATATGTATTCTGTTTTTGAAAACTTGTTTGTATTTGTAAAAGTAAAATAAAACATAAATATAAAAATACAATTTTTTTTTAACTTTCATTCACATTCTTAGTCTAACTGTTATCTTTAACCCCTTCGCGCCGGGTAGCGCAAACGCGCGCTTATCACAGAGGCCGGCAGTGTCTTATGCAAGCGTCTGTCCAGGGCCGGGGGCTTTTTTGCTATTAAGCCCAAATCCATGAAATTTCCGAAGTGTCAACGCATTGTTTAATAATGCTCTATAGAGTATTTAAACGGCTTATGCTTTATAGATATTTTTATATATACTTTAATTACCTTATTTCTTGTTTAAATACATATTTTACACATTTTATTTTCATTACTCACCATTTTATGACTTTTAACATTATACATTTGAAAACTAAATATATTACTTAAAATTCTCTTTTCGTATGAAAAATTTGAAAACAGGGATTTACACACAGTCCTACATTACATTCCTTGCACTTGTAATAACTCATTTGCCGTTTTGGATTATTTTTCCGAGAATGTGAACAAACGAAGCATCATCGTCTCATTTTCTTATCAGTCTCTTCTGAACAAAGTTTTGGAAAATGTCTTTCAGTTAATCTGAGCACATTTAATGATTCTTCTGATCTTGGTGTGATATTAACATTGGTGCTTTTAGAGGAATCCCGATAAATAATTTGATTAACTAAATTAAGCCGATAATTCAGGAGAGGAAGATTTTTTTTAACTTTTTTTGTTGAAAAGAGTATTGGCGTTAAATACAGCCATATCCATGATATTGAAGAAAAGCTTCTTATACCATTTAACAATTTTTCTGAAAGATAGGTACTGAATAATGACGGAATCGCTTAAATCTACTCTTCCCATATTTTTGTTGTGTTCTACGATACACTCTGGCTTCATTATAGGATTAGATGTTTCTCGATCTTTTTTACCAGTATCACATTTTTGCATCATGCATAGTTGATATCATTAGCACTTTTCGTCTATCTTTGAAAGTAGTTAAGTTCTTTTTCTGCAAAACCAACATCTCATCGATTTTCATTTTTGGCGGCGGAAAATTTTCAGGCATTCCTTTCCTTCTGTTCATTAGAGTTCCACATGTATTTGTTTGTAGTGCAAAGAGTTCGTCCGATAATGATGGAGACATAAAAAAATGATTAATATATAAACCGAAATAACCAACGCTTTAGCGAAAATAAAACTTCTCTACTTACAATAAACAACTACCACGTGCGAATTTAAAGAGACGTTATAAATCCCGCCATTCGGAAACATTTATTTCCCCTTTTGTTTATATAATCAAAAACACATGTATGTGAGTCATGCTTCTCTCATTTCGAGTAGAAGGTCTAATGTACATGTATCTGAAACCATATGGGCATACAGTGCCATCTTGTGGCAAAAATTATAGTTTTTAAAACGTTCCAGGACACTGGCACAAATACGTGACAGTCGGGGCTGAATGGGAAAATGCTCTGGCACGCCTGTGTCGGCCGGGAAGTGAGTGTGTTCGTTGCTGGCATGTAGATGTGACAGTGGGCGCGAAGGGGTTAAGTTATTTGTCAATTACTTGTATTATGATTATGCTGTATTCTGTATATTATAGAAAAAATATAAGAGGGTCGATGCAAGAAAAAAGTTGGTAAACCCTGCTCTATATCATAAAGTATTTGCCACTGTCTTGGACATTTATCTTTCCATAGCTTCGCATGATTTACATCAAAATCACATATATTTATCAGCAGGAAACAGTTTGTACCACAACTCAGAGTTTCAGGAAATGCAAGACCAGCTTGCAGCTGTCCAGTGATGGTGTGCTGTTACACAGATGAAAAGTGTTTATTATCAATTAACCACTGGTAAAAATGTA